CAAGAGAAAAGAGGTTAAAATGTTGTGCCTCATCCAATACTGTCAAAATGAAACAATACAACAATTCACACAGGGGGACAGCAAGAGAGTAAATGTAAGCACTATAAATATACATAAGCCACAACCTAAACTGTTTCCCAGCCCAACCTCCAGAAATGGATTTCTCCCAGTAGACATATAAGAACCACTATATATCCCTAACTGCCTCGTGTGACCTAGTTGAAGGCAGCCTAGAGGCAAAGATGGAATTTCCACTACATCTGTAGGATTCCATGAATATGTATTTAGCTTTTGTCAGAGGACAACAAATATCCCATAGTTGTAATGTGAGTAAAAGTGCCATTTGTTTTCCTTCTCACATACCTGCTTGTAACACAGAAAATGTGGCACAAAGTACACTTTAGAGGAAAGAAAGGGAGGGTTATTTATGGACAGATTCACAGAATGAAGATACAAATGTACACAAATGTAAAGATACAAATCTAGACAAAGATATTCTTGCTCTAAAGTGGAAAAACTTTTCTTGGGCTGTGATGTACACTACCCACATCTAAATCCACCAGAGTTTTCTTTGGCATCTGTTGTTTAACTTATATATATTTAAGTGCTGATACAAATCTATGATGCTCAATCATACTACACCATGCTTATGTGAATTTACAGGAAAAAAAATAAAAAGCTTCATAGTTACAGTAAGTGCCAAGCAGGGTGGTAGTTCAGAGCCTGAGATTCTAGTCCTGGCTTAGCCATTAACTAACTCTGAGCTTTAAGAAAGTCAGTTAAGTGTTCTGGGCTTCAGCTAACTTTGCTGTGAACTGAGGAGCTTGAAGGACTCAGGTGATGTCAAGGCTCATGCTGTTCTTTATCATCTCCTTAACTCCAGTATCCAACACAGCACTTAGCACACTGGAGGTACTCCATGAGTATTTGTGGAAATGGATGAATGTATTATTTAATGAGTCAATGAATAAAAGCACCCATAAGATCCTTGCCAATCTAAACCATGATAACATTATGTAGTTAATTTGCATGACAAACAAAACCTTTGAAATTAAATCCTAATTCACAGGTGAATGTGTGTTTTCTGAAATGGGTGATGGTATCTAGAAAGTAATATTACAGCATCACAACCTAAATCCCCTGTCAATCTAGTCTGAATCATGTACCTGTCTGGAGGAAGCAAAGCTAATATAATGACTTAGCTGAGTCATCTAGTGAGAGCCCAGTAATACAGGCAAAGTTGAAGACCTCGTCCATGATCAAATTTCCACTGATGGTGACTTAATTAACCATTGACCTTGCACTGAACAGCAGAAATCATAACAGTGGATTTCTGTCAGCCTACTGCCTTTTCTATTCATGCCACATCCACTAGAAAATTATTATCTTATCCAAGAATAGGAAGTGGGCTCTACTTTCTAGAAATAGGTTATGTATTTGAAATAATCCAATCATTATATTTATACCCTATGAAATTATTATGCTAATCAGATACTTTCTATAAAACCATTTTCTATGACTTTTATTCAAGCTTGGAAGAAAAGGTTAGGAAGAAATAACACTGATTTAGCTTATACCAAGGTAATCACAGAAGGTATTTAGTCACCTTGGGCCTATAGGACACTTAAATATCTGCATAAAAAGCCAAAAATTGAGTTTAAATATTTTTAAAATCATACCCAACTTTTAGCAATTTAGAGAGCAAGCATTTAAGATCTGATTTCTTGTTGTTGCTATTGTTGTCATTTTTAGACACCTTCCCTCATATGGATTGAAAGGAAAATGAAGGAAAGCTGGAAGGAAGGGAGGAATGCAGGGAGGGAGGGAGGGAAGGAGGATGGAAGGAAGAGAAAGGGATAGGAATGCAAGCACTGATGACTGCAAAGCACTCGGTAATGAACACAGCAGGAAGGTGATACAGGCAGGATTCATGTCTTACGTATAGAAGCATCAAACCTTTCCACTGTATTTCAGCCACACTGCATATATTTTGTTGAGAGGTAGCAGAAAACAGGAATTCAGTAAAAAATGTAAATAGTGACCATTTATCTCTCATAGAATGGTATCCAATGAAAAGGGAAAGGTATAAATCAATGGAATTGTTTCACCTGGTAATTATATAAAATTTGAAAAATTATTAACAATCGTGAACCCCCTCATTTCACTATCTTGTTCTTGTTATTTCTACAGATTTGTAGGCCTGCTTTAAATCTCAAGGCTCAAGCCACCCACTGCTTTGAGGACTTAGTACTATTTAACTGTATCTAAAAAAGGAAGCTATTCAATATGATTTTTTTAATGTTATGTATTACCATAAAGAAATTAAAATATCATATCCCGTTTAGTAAAGAGCAGAAAAAAGTGTTCATCATCAAATAGGTCATTACATATTTAAATAAGTTATTGGCTTTTTAAACTATCATTATATGGATAATTTATCAGTCTTCTTATCTTCGAACAGCCCTTCAAATAGCAGTTTATCATTCTTGGGTCTGAAACTTCCTTTTGGCCATTGATTAAAATGAATAAAATGAGTGTTACAAAATCTGGAAAATCTCTATGCTTCTTAAAGGCAATATGTACTTCTGCTAAACTCTAACAGCACTCCAGGCTGTGCCATTTATCACTTAATTATACATTGTCTTGCCTTGTTCTTTATTTCCATCACAGTTTTGTGTATACTAAACTAGGCTCCCATGAAATCTCATGGATCCAGAAGGGCAAATGGAAAGATGTCTGGATTGTTTTTTAAACTGACTTATTGTTATGGGGCGCCTGGGTGGCTCAGTCAGTTGAGCATCTGCCTTCGGCTCAGGTCATTGTCCCAGGGTCCTGGGATCGGGTCCCGCATCGGGCTCCCTGCTCAGTGGGGAGCCTGCTTATCCCTCTCCCTCTGCCTGCCGCTCCCCCTGCTTGTGCTCTCTCTTTCTCTCTCAAAAAATAAATAAAAATCTTAAAAACTGACTTATTGTTAGTTACTAATATCCTCCACTGGATATATCCATATGCATGCCTCTCATATTATAATTGCACATTATGTATTACATTACATTTTTACTTTAAATACTTATATATTTTATGAGCAGGGAGATTTTAAGCCAAGTTTTCAAATGGGAACAATTAACCTTTCAATGAGAAGCAAGGTATACAATCTGCTTTTTAATTTTCTTAGAATCATTTGTAACTAACCTTTTCTACTCCTAACAAAGATAAATCCTTAAAAGAATTTCAATTTTAATTTTAGTACATTGCTACTATGCTACTGTATACTTTCTGAACACTTATAGACAAACTTATACTTTACATAAGGATTACAGAAGTAATTATTACACTTTATATTATATATGACATAGTATCTCCTTATACCTAAAATCCAATCTGAATAGAAACTACAGTTGTAAAAATTTAAAGAAAATGCATGCACACAGTTCTTTTTTTTCTTATTCTTGGCAATTATAAAAGTAATTATGAACAAGATTGCTGGTCAGATGTGTGAAATTCCTAGTTGTTAAAGCCCCAGCTCATAGCCTCTGCTTTAATGAAATATGTCATTCAATGCATAGTTCTCTAATATCATTTAACCTATAAATTGTGCTTCTGACCCTTTCATCACTCAAACAGAGAATACAAAGAATAGAATTCATTACAAATTCATGGAGCTTCTAAAACATGAAGAGATACCGGTTATAATTCATTCATGAGTTATTTTCAGTTTATGAAGGAAGGTCTTGCTAAAAGAGAGTAAAAAGCAAAGCATGTTAAATCATAAAATTAAATCCAGACTTTGCTGAGCATGGTTTTTAAGTTCTTCCACAAATAGTTCCAGCCCCAATCTCAGTCCACCCCTAAAATTCAATTAATTCTTTCTCCTCATGTGAACTTCAATATCCCAACCAAAAACCCAGCTTGCCAAAAGTGAGGTTATGCTATTATCCACCCTTAGAATGATCTACAAGACCATGTCTTATCCAGAAGCACAAACTCCTAACCACTTCCTTCAAACCTTTAACAAAATATTCACCGGTTAGCTATGATTAAGCCAGCCAAGCCAACTACTCTATTCACCTTGGCTTGACGCGAACACATTCGAATTTATGAAATTTCTGAGAGCAGAAATTTCTGTTCAATTGACACTGATGATGTACTTGTTGATTATTGGCCCTCTTATGTCTATTACACATCAATTATTTTCAGTTGACTGGTTAAGGTCTCCGAAACCAGGAATTGTGTCTGATATGCTGACTAAAAGGAAGTTAATATATTAAAGTACTTTGGAATATATTACATAAATGAATGCAACAGTAGAATGTTTTCAACAAGAAGTAGATTGAGAGCTGTGTAAGATCCTAGCATAAGAAAATAAAAGAGAATATAGGAGATACAAAGATATCTATCTTACCCTTAAAGATAATCTTCTTTGATTAGGGCTTAAACCAAAGAGGTATGACTCACTTAACATTCAAATAAGTGATGAATGCACATTATTGTTTACCCTTCACCTGGAAAGAAGTATGAAAACAATTATTTTTTCTATGCTGATTCAAAACACTACTGATGTTGAATTTTATTCTAGAGTTATGCTAACACCAACATGGAAGAGGGCAGGAATAGTAGTATTTAGAGTTGCTCGGCTCCAATCCTGACACTGAGACACAAGACTCTTCAAGTCATCTAACTAAATGGGCACAAAGTCTTCATTGTCAGAATGTAGGGATATATACTGTATTATCCGAAGTTATACTCCACCTCTAAAAAAATCTCATTCATTGAATCTCCTCCTCTGAGAATCCATATCATTCAAATTTTTTTTTTTTTTTTTTGAAAATCAAAGCCTGCTTTTATTGATGTGCCCACAGACAGACCGGTGATTTGGAAGGGATGGCAACACTAACAAGACACTCGTGGTTAATGCAACTCAAACACAGGGGGCAGGAGATGGCTTTACAGGGACAGGATGCCTTCATAAGTTAGGGAAACGGACTGCTCTCTGGCTGCCCCTCTCATTTCACGTTCCTCACGAACTCCTCTCCCTTCTTGATGGAGACCTTCAGCTCAGGGATGGCTTCCGCTATCATCTTCTCTCCGAAAGAGGAGATCTTGCCGATGCCTAGATTCTTCTCAATGCTCTTTTTCCCCAGCAGTAACGGGGTGGAGAAATAGGCACAGTCGGCTTCTGGGGACTTAATGAAGGAACACTCCACAACTCCTTCCTTTCCATTCATCGCATCCACAAGGGAGAAGACAAACCGGGCTCCGGCGTACGCCATGGACAGGGTGGCCAAGGGTGCCCCAGCTTTGGCCTTCACCACCTCGGTGCCGGCCTCCTGGATCTGCCCAGGGATGGCTGTTAGCTGGTCCTGGGGAAGGTCCACCTGGGCAGTGCACTGCGAGATCAGGGGGATGATGGTCTTCCCAGCATGGCCGCCAATGACAGGAACATTGACTCGAGCAGGATCCAAACTCTTCAGTACCCCAATGAAAGTGTTGGCTCTGACAATGTCCAGGGTCGTCACCCCGAAGATTTTACTGGGGTTGTAGATTTCGTGTTTCTTGAAAACTTCCGTCGTGATTGGGATGGTGGAGTTCACTGGACTGGAAATGATGATGGCCTCGGGGCAGTGCTGGGCGCAGGCAACAGACAAGGTGGCCACAATGCAGGCATTGGTGTTGAACAGGTCATCCCGGGTCATGCCTGGTTTTCTCGGGACTCCTGCTGGAATAACCACCACATTGCAGCCTTTCAGGCAATGTGCTCTGGTCTCGATGTGGCTGGGATCTGCGGCCACTCCAGGCGTATGAGCAATATCGTAGAGGGTCAGGCCGCTCACCAAGGGACTGTTCTTGAGGAGAAGCGCAAGGGGCTGCCCGATTCCTCCGGAAGCCCCTAGCACGGCTACTTTCGCATTGTTCTGGGCGGAGGTGCTGAAGCTGCGGCGGAGAGCCGCGCGGGCAGGGCGCGCGAGGGCGGAGGACATAGTTGGAGGCCGCAGGGAGCGGAACTGCAGGCAAAGGAGCTGGCAGCTGGCACGTGACACTCCATATCATTCAATTTTTTAAATGAGAAAAAGCATGAAACAATTTCTGCTTAAGAGGTATTGTCTGGTGTCTTAATCATTGTTAGAGGAATTGCAAAAAGAATCCTTATTCTGTTCAGTTATCACTAAAATCCTAGAAGCTACATTTTTACAACAAAAGTGAGGCTACACAATTATACCATAGCATATCTAAAAAAAATAGTGAACTCACCATAAAAAATAAAAGTATGATGATCACTTTCCATAGTTGGAGAGAAAAACCAATGATCAAAATGAGGGTATGTTGGGTTCTAGTTTTAGAGTAAAGAACTACAACTTGTTTTCTTTAGCCGGGAAGAAATAGTTTTACTTTAATGTTGACTATTGAATTCCTTGTGGTGAGCATATTTATCTCTGTTTAGTGAAACAATGGTAGGGTACTTTTTAAAATGTTTTCTTTTCTTCCTTTTTTTTTTTCTTTTAGGATGAGAATCCTTGAAGCAAGATAATACTAATAACTAACATTTAATGAGAACTTTCTACCATACTATACTTTTCTAGGTGCTTTACATTTATCAATTCATTGTGTTCCTGCAAAAACACGTAAGAAATGAAATCAGGACACAGAAAAGTTAAGTAAATTTCGTAGGGCCACATAGCTAATAAAAAACAGAGGAGGGTGAGTACCAGTGAGGGCTCAGTCCAGAGCTCACGCTTAAACGCTGAACTTCGTTGCCCCAAGGATATGTTGAGACAAAGGAAAGACATACTGTTTTGCTGCAGAAGGAGTAAAGCAGGTAGGAGACAGGGACAAGTGAACTAGGAAGAAGAGTTGTAGAGGGGGTTTACAGTGACTGCGAAGTCCAGCAACAAGCCAGGTTGATGTCATACAAACAGGCGGAAAAAAGTGAAAATGTGGAGGAGGAAAAAAGAGCATTGTCCAAGTAACTTTTAAAACTAGAGAGGTTTAGTATTTACTTGAATTTAAAAGTTACTACATGTGTTCTAGCCATACAGCCACTCAGTAAATTCTGTCCTATTTCATGTCTTTGGGTGGATGGTATTTGGGGAAATCAAGGAGTAGAGACTTTGTTTCATATTTTGAGGGATGTGAAAACAGCTGCAAGCACTTACTGAGACTGAAGAATTCAGAGGAAACAATTACAGCCATAGGTGATTGGGTAAAATGCCAACTTCACCCCTGCCAAAGGATCCTCAAAGGACTGGGAAGGGTCAAGTGGCCCCAGTGACATCTTGGTTTTACTTCAATGCTCCATTGAAAAGCTTTTTAACAATTCATACCAAAAACAAAGAAAACCCTTGCTATGATATGGAAAACCCTTCCTATAATGATTGCAAAGGGAACAGCATACCAGACACGCATGCATGGAAATCATGCAGGACCCAAACTCACTCTGAGACTGGAAGCTAACTTAGAATGCTTCCTGATGCTTCCAACAAAATAGATACCATTAACTCACAACTGTTTGAGAATTGAGGATGCTTTAAATTAAATAACTCAATGAGGATGCAGGATCTACTTAGTGTCAGGGAATAGAGCACTATACGAAAAATCTTTGCTCATGTGGTTTACATTCCAATGGGCTTATATTCTGATTCAGTATTTACTACTGGCCGGCTTAAATGATAAGTGATCCAACCATTGTCTTTTTTATGTATACTGAAATCAACACGAAAGTGCAGATAGGGATTTGTTCAAACTTCCATAAAGACATTTTTTTAAAAAGTTATTCACTTTGGCTATACTATCTCAGGGATCACCTGCATTTTTATTAAAGTAGTGTCTCCTGGGATCTAGAACAGCCTTAATTATTGTTCCTATCTCCCCATGTAGTTAAAACATTGCCTCTATTCAAGGGTTTCTATGATTACTTTTATGGGAAGGTGGTAGAAGGTGAATCAGGTGTTATTAATTATCTCTCATCTTAACCTAGAATATTATCAAGTCCACCTCCCAAAGACACCGAATTCTAAATCACCTCACTCATTCCTAAAGAACCTGCTTTTGCTCTTCATTTTGACTGTATCTCTTGACCCTCCTCAATTCTTTCTGTCATCTCTTTAAGTGGAAAGGACAATACCAACCATACAGAGTTGAAATCACACAGAGTGACGTAAATGAGATGATCTAGCAATCCAGACCCTAGTAAAAAAACAAACAAACAAACCCAAAAAACAAAACTGATATTGCTTAGAACAAATTAGGCCTCTTAGGTAAAAAGGTGAGTTTCTAGAAGAAGGATGTTGGTAGAAATGAAAATAATGAAAAAGATAACTGAATATCTCTCTGTGACACACTGTTCATTCAGTTATTTTGCCTGGGAGTGGGAAAAAAGAAAAGGACACAGACAGAAAAATCAATACCAGTTTAAAAGCGAGTTCTGTGTAGGTCAGTTAACCACTGACCTGAGAATCTCCCGGTGGCATGATGACCGAAAAGCCTTCTAAGAATGTGAATGTCTAAAAATCAGTGTAAAGTTTGAAGTTGTTTGCTATGTAATTCATGATGAGATGACTCTTGGAGATCCACATACCTTTAATAAAAGAAATGTAGTGTTCCATGCAACATTTTTATATTTGTGGTTTGGAGTCGAGGTATGGGGAAATAAGCACAAGAAGTTGTAAATAATAGTTAGGCTAACCCTGGGGCAGAGGTAGAGAAAGGGATGCAAAACACAGAGGAAAATATCAGTAGAAACAAAAAATCAAAACCAGAAATGACCAAGAGAACATAAGGCCCAGAAAAATTGGGTCTGTGACAGGCTGATCTTACTCACATTCAAGAAGTTAGAGATTTTGGATGACTTCTGGTATGTGTATATATGTACATATAAATATTTACATATATACATATGCATATGTATATGTCTGTGTGTGTGTGTGTGTGTGTGTGTGTACATAATGCCTGTTCTTACATTTAGGAATGTCATAAAGCCACGCTAGTTTCGTTTATCTCTAACCAAATAGATTCTGGCGTCATCTGAATCTGGTATCAGCAAACTAGTCCCTTAGGTCAAATCTGACCAGCCACCTAGTTTTGTAAATAAAGTTTTATTGGAACAAAGTAAAACCCATTGGCTTATATATTGTCTAAAACTGTTTATGCACTACAAAGCAGAGTGAGATCATTGCAGCAGGGTTCATGGCACTCAAATTCTACAGTATTTACTCTCTGGCTCTTTACAGAAAAAGTTGGCTTACCTTTGACCTGGACCATCACTCTCCCAATCTCCTGACTTCTTGCCTTCTGTCTTTTCTCCATCTCCCACCTCTCCCTCTCTCCCTTCTCCCTCCCTCCTTTCCTTCCTTCCTTCTAGGTCTCTCTCTTTTTTTTTTTAAGAACATTCATTTACTGAGTGCCTACTATTATTATTTTGTCATTATATTTAAAAACTACTTTTAGAGCAGTTTTAGGTTCACAGCAAATTTGAAAGGAAGGTACAGATATCTTCCATACCCCTCCTGTCCCCATACATGCACAGCTTCTCCCGTTATTAACATCCCTTACCAGAGTGGTACTTTTTTTAATAATTGATAAGCCTTCACTGACACACCAAAATCACTCAAACTCCATCATTTACATTAATATTCACTTTTGGTTGTACAAGAGTTTGGACAAATGTGTCGTGACATAAATCCATCATTACAATATCATACAGAATATTTTCACTCCTTCTAAAAATCCTGTGTTCCACCTACTTATTCTTCCCTGCCTCCTACCCCTAGCAACCAGTATATTTTTACTGTCATAGTTTTGCCCTTTCCAGAATGTCATATAATTGAAATGAAACTGTCTGTAGGCTTTTCAGATTGGCTTCCGTCGTTTAGTAAATAGATATTTGAGTTGCCTCCATGTCTTTTCATGGCTTGTTAGGTGATTTCTTTTTAACACTGACTAATATTCCATTGTGTAGATGTACCATGGTTTATTCATCTATTCACCTACTGAAGGGCATCTTGGTTGCTTCCAAGTTGTGACAATTATGAATAAAGCTGCTATAATGATCCACGTGCAAGTTTTTGTGTAGACATAAATTCTCAACCTCTTTGGGTAAATACCAGAGAGTGTCAATGCTGGATTACATACTAAGAGTATGTTGAGTTCTGTAAGAAACCATCTAACTGTCTTTCAAAGTGGCTGTACCTTTTGCATTTCCATCAGCAATGAATCTGAGTTTCCACTGTTCCACATTGTCACCAGCATTTATTTGGTGCTGTCAATGTTCTGGATTTTGGCCATTCTAATCAGTATGTTGTGATACTTCACTGTTGTTTTAATTTGCATTTCTCTGATGATATATTATGTGAAAGAACTCTTCATACTTGGCAGCTGCATATTTTCTTTGGTGAGGTATCCATTAAAGTCTTTGACCCCTTTTTTAATCTAGTTGTTTTCTTATTGTTAAGTTTTCTTTTTTTTTTAAAGATTTTATTTATTTATTTGAGAGAGAGAGAATGAGAGATAGAGAGCGTGAGAGGGAAGAGGGTCAGAGGGAGAAGCAGACTCCCCGCTGAGCAGGGAGCCCGATGCGGGACTCGATCCCGGGACTCCAGGATCATGACCTGAGCCGAAGGCAGTTGCTTAACCAACTGAGCCACCCAGGCGCCCCTACTGTTAAGTTTTAAGAGTTCTTTTTATATTTTGGAAACAGTCCTTTATCAGATGTGTCTTTTATAAATATTTTTTCTCAGTCTGTGGCTTATCTTCTCACTCTCTTGAGCTTCCTTTCTTTTTCCCTTTTGTTTTCATGTTTTTGACTCCCCATCATGTTCTTTAAAGTAACCATTCCAAACTTTTCAGGATTTTGGAAAGTCTGAATATTCAACTTGAATTTTCTCTGTATCTATACTTCCCTCCTTCTTTCACCTCTCTGTTCTTCAAGCTTAATCACCCAACTTTGCCCTGATTCAATAGCTCCCAGACTTCATTACCCTGCCCA